TTCGTGCAAATTGCCTAAGGCCCGTGACGTTTTAGAAAAGGACCACCACCACCCCTCCCCCCTCCTCCCCCCCCAAAACGGGCCAGAACGAGGACCACATTTTGATCATCGACGACTTCACCAACTCCGGTAGCACTCTCTTCGGCGCAGTGGAGCACCTAACCCAAAAGAAAAACGAGCGGGGCACGTGGTTTCTGTTTTTTCTCGATGTGTTTTTCCGTCACTGACCGAGTTCCGTTTCGGACTTTAGTCACTGTTGGGGGGTTTGGACCCCATTTTAGTGCCAAGCAACTGTTTTGGCCACTCAGGAAGTGTTTTTTTTTGCCAATGGCCAAAGGATCCAACCGTTGGTGTCCAGACTATGGGCAGGGGTCTTCTAGTTCGAGATCCCGGTGTGAGGTTCTGGTTGCGGGACCCCTATAAACCCGGTTTGTCGGAATGCATGAGCCCCTTCTGAAGTTTGTTGGCCAAGCATCAACCCCCGAAGATTGCATGTTGACCCCACGGAAGGTGCTCAATGTGGTTCAAGAATCCCTCGTAACTAAATGCGACACACCCTGAGCAAGATCAACTACGTATGAATCCTGGTTTAACATCAGCGACCGGTTGCTGGAGTTGAAATGGAGACACCTAGGGCCCCGGGCTGCAAGAAGTTGCCGCGAATGGGACGCTATGAGGCTCAGTTTGCAACATTGGGCCCGACCAAGGGGACCCGATTGGTTTGTTTGGAGGGGCTTTTGGTTGCGCAGAGTCCGAAGTTCGGCGTGCGAAAGCGCCTCACGCGCTTGCGGCCGGCCCCCGGGCTTTCCGGTTCTTAACGGACCCGGGCTGAAAGCTGAGGGCGAGGCCGAAATTCGCCACATCGGCCATGCAGTCGAGGGGGCAGGCCGTCCAGCTTGTTGGTGCAGCACCACTTGATCTTCCTGGGATGGGGCGTCATCGATCCAAAGTGAGGTGATTCGTTTGATGCCTCTTAGGAGACCAAGTGCCAAAAGGAAACCAGACGTCAACGTCATAAGATGCGCCCAGGCTGGTGAAGAAGTACGCGGGCGGCAGCGAGATTAACGTGTCCATCTTCGTGTCTCACCTCGTGGCAACCTACGACCCCAAGGCGGGCTTGAGATGACGTTTACCCCCAGTTTTGCTTGGGCTTTCCGGTTAAAGTCGTTGGCAACAAGGAGGGGTTTGAGCAAGTGCTTGTATGTCCTGCAATTGGGAGGAGTTTCAGTTGAAGGGGGCGATTCATCCAAGACTCTTTGCCTTCCTTTTCTCCAGGTTTCGGCGGTGCAGGCGCATGCTTGGACGTTGGTGCAAAGACAAAGCCACAACTCACCATGCCAGGTCTGCTACAACCCCCTGAGCGGGTTTCTGAGTCCCGAACCTATCCCAAAAGTGTGGGCTTCCATGATCTTCGGCCAAGGTTTGCCTGGGGTGTCTTCCAAGTTGGGAGCTCGACAAACCTGGAACGCCCAGACAGGGTTGCCCTCGCCCTCAATAGGACAACATTTTTTGTGCGGCTTTGCGACTTGAGTTCTTTGACCAATCCAGCGGCTCGAAGGCTGTGATCCCTTGCAGTGAGAATGAAGAAATCTGTGAACCCAGTTCGAGTGCGTTGCGCTTCCACGTTGTTGATAGGACCGCACACAAGGCTGTTTTGAATGTTCCTAAACCGTGAAGCCCCTTGAAATAGGACCCGTTTATGTCCCATTTTAGTGATATCCCCTGAAGAGGGCCCAGGGCCAGTCATGAGTCTGAGGTGCTTGGCATTACACACTTGACATGGACCTGAATTGGTGGACGTCGCGCGGAAATGACAACAGGCAGTTTCCCCAAACTGCCGGGGTGTAGTACAAAGATACGAAGCAGCCCTTGGCGTCATGGATGTCCCCCTAAAATCGGGTGAGACCACTTCTGGGTCATACCAACACCCCCCGGCACACAAAGGGAGACTCGCGAGACGCGAGACGCGTGAGTCGCGGCGCGAGGTGGTGGAGTCTTTGAAGACCAAGTTGCATAAGCTCGGGAAGCAGTGCCGCCCCTTGGCCTTTTGGGAATCTCAAGCCTCCGAGTTGCAGGAGCGGATTATCCTTCCGAGAGATGGGTGGGGCAGGTCCCAGAAGAAAACGGTGAGACGTCAAAACAAGGGGCATGAGTTTTGGTAGGGGATCAGAAACACATGGGATTCATGCACCGCCAACAATTGTTGAGACCAATAGCCCCACTTTCAGCCCCAATAAGGGGGCCCACTACATGCTTTTCCTTGCAGGCTGGGGTCCGTGCCGCAGGATGTGCCTTCAATTTCATAGTACCAACCTAGTTACTTGCGGTGCACAGCGTATAAGGCGATGTAACAGGTATTACGATATGAGTCATATATGAGGTTTGACTTTTTTTTATGGCACGTACCCCAGAGACATGTCGCAATTTCCCTGAATATGGGGGACGGCTTTTAACTGAAACCATCATTACAAAACATCCCAGCCCTCCAATAGGGGGGTAGCACTACTTTTGTACCTTTGTGAGCAATTGAGAATGCTGTAGGGAGCTTGCACGGAAGATATCGATCGACGTCCCTGCTTCTAGCTTCCCTTTTACGTGCTTTGCGAGTTGTCTCAGGCTTCTTTACCACCAATTCGATTCCGACGACCACAGACTTGCTGAAGGGCGACGATCAAGCAGCATGGCGGACTAGCATTTGTTTTATTTTTCCCGATGCTTGCTTTATGCACCTGCCTAGCTGTTTCCGCAGCAACAATGTAGGCAGTCTGGCTCTCAGGCAAGCGCCTGCGTAACCCCACTCACCAGGTCACAGTGATCGACATCTCCGACTTCATTGCAGACATGGTGTCTTAGTTGGCCAGTGGCTTGAGCGATTCCGGGCTTCTGTCGCACATGACATCACAGGTTTATCGCCAGCTCTCATGTTAGGTGGGGTGGACACAGATGGTATGGGGTATGACCACCTTATCAGACCGTGGTGTGTCTCCAGTTGCCGGTTTTGGACACGTCAACCAACTGGAGGGGGTCTATTTGTTTTGCCTATAAGACAAGCGGCATGAGGTGGTTGTCCCACTGTCTTGCCAGCAGAAGATGAAACATAGAGGTCCAATGCCAACGCAGATTCTGGGCGTGCGTTTGAAACTCATGAACGCGGTTTCTTTCACAAAAGGGAGTTAACCCTTTAGGATCGTCATTTGCCAAAAGCCAGGCACGGGTGTTCCCCTACAAATCTTCCGTCGAAGCATCCAACCCGACCATCGCTCAGCCTTCGGAAGCGGGGCCAAGTCGGCAAGTCGCCAAGTCCGGTTTTCCACGGGACGCGAGCGAGTGCGGCGTTCGATGCTTGGGGGACTTAAGGATGGCGGCTTTGTGTCCCAGTTTCCTTCAAATGGATACACTGTTCCGTGCAGGAGCGGTGGGAAGAGGGTAATTGTGGGAAGACCCCCAAAGTCCAAAGCCACATTTCGCAGATTCTCTTAAGTGTGAATTTGGGGATAGATTTGCCCCCAAAGAACAAAACCAAAGTAATGGATCCTTTCCGGGACAAGGGGGTGCGATTCCGGGATCATTTGAGGTAGAAGTGGTTTGCCGCAATGTGACGACTTCTCTATCAGTGTGAAATTGGTGGCAGGTAGACCCAAGCGCAATGTGCCGAGCTTGACACGAGCCTCGTCGACATGGAGAGGTTGATAGCCCTCTGTAGTGATCCTTCCTTGTTGAGTGGCTGACCCCACCAGACGTGAAACATGTTGATACCGCTCTCTACCCCGCGGGATCTTTGGCTCATCGCTCCTCGAAGCCTCGAGGGGTCGCCTGCAACTCGCAGCTTGTACACATTCGCAGCTCCCAGGGGCGAAGCAGAAGGCGACAGGCCACAAGGAAGGCATTTAAATGCTCAAGAAAGGTGTCATGTTTGGGAATGTGTGTATTCATACATGCGAATGCAATTATATATAGAATAACGCTGTTTGTGCATATATATACACATATATATAATATATATATATTGTATGCGCCTGTGTGTACCTCATGGTTCTGTTTCCACGAAACTCGCATTGGTTTGTGCTTTTCCGTATGAACATGTTTCTGGGTGGTGGCCAAATTTGACAGTGCACCGCCCTGTTCAGCAACATATGGACAAAGGCGTCCAAGTATGGACGGACAGACATGTTATACACAATATGTGTTTCCAGATGATACATGGTGAGCGTAAGCTATCATGGCCAAATGTAGCCACACGTATGTACACACGGCTTTGTGTCGAAGCCAATCGACCCTTCAAAGTCTGGTGAATCCAAGCCAAAGTATCTCGATCTGCTGAGGGACCTTTTCACTTGGCTAATTGGGACGATACTCTTTGGTGGGCATCATTATTGTGTGTTTTTCATGAATAAAACAAAACAACATGTCCAATTCGGTTCTGAGTCCGCCCGCGCTTTCTGCATTGCCCCGGATGGCATTTGGGGGATCGCTGGTCGACAGATGTTTCACCACTTTGGACCAGGGTCTGCGGGAAGTTGTAAGCAAAGCTCGTGGGACTCTGCGATGCCACAATCCTCTTACTTGGATTCCTAATGTGTTCCGCACTTGTGTGTTTCAAGCAGCACCTTTTAACCAATTCAAAATTCAATTGCCTCTTGGGGTGATGGCGGGAAATCTAGGGAACCCTGTCATCCTGACCAAGTTGTGCCATTTGCCCGCCACCTGGCCCAATTTTGGGACAGCGGCGCCACGAGACTCGGTGCCCATCGATTTACCCTCGGCGTGAAAGGTGGACTGGTCGCCATGTATTTGTTCCGGCTTCATAGTCTCCACCGTAGAAGCAACCCCAACCAGTCTTGACGGCTCTCCCAAAACGGAGGCTCCGTTCCTCGAAGCATAGGTGGTGTTGTTGCTGTTTTGGTTGTCAGGCTTCTCCGGACTTCGTCCCTTTGGGTGGTTTAGGGGTCCATGGTTTTGCTTCAGGCGAGAAATCGTAAACGGCACTGCCAGTGGCGCAGGTGTCCCTGATGCAGGAGCAGACTGGAGCTTAGAACCAGGTTTTCCCTTGAACCAGCCACCGGCTCCGGACAATTCGCCCCGAAACCGAGCTTGGGGAAGTTGCCAATTGATGGAAGCTGTTGGCCAACTCTTCGCTGTTCTGTTCAACGGAGTCATGTGGAGTTTGGGCCCCCCAACTGGGTTCTCCACGTACTGGCGGTGTTCAACCTGGGCCACTTCAAAGTGAGCTTTCTGTGGGGCGATTTTCAGGGGAAAGGCCGGGAATCCCGTCACAGGGGCAGTCCCGCCTATGACCAAAGTGGAAATCGAGTTCGATTTCCTCAGGCTGATGACAGAACTGGCAGAGGCTCAAAGCCAGGCGCAGCAGGAGATTTATTTCGCTGATTTCGCTGGGTTGCCAGATCCGGTGCGACATCATTGCGACATCTGGGACTCGTGGAAATTCTTCTTGGATGCTGTTGAATAGCCGCTGGGTGCAGCTCGTTCATATCAGAATCCTTTATGCCGTGTTAGTTAGAGATGGAAAGCGGGAAGCCATGATTGCACCCCATGCTGAGCTATCGCTTGAACCCAAAAGACAACAGATTCGACCCATCACCCGTATTCCCTTGTTTGCCCTTCATTTGCTCCAGATCTATTCAATTTGAAGATGACCATTGAAATCTACGGGTGTCTCGTCTTTTTGTGGAGTTGGTACCTCTTGTGGTTTTAAAAGGGACACCGAAAGGAAACTACCAAAAAAGTAGGGGCCTAAAGAGACAGACCCAAATACATACGTATATGCATATATATAAATACATATTATAGTGTAAACGTGGAAGCAACTTTGTATCCTGAATGCTGGATGTGGGAAACCAGTGAGTGATGTGCAGCACCAAGTAGATTGTCTCTCAGGACTGTAGGCTATCCCGCTGTAGTAAGGCTCAAGGCCTTCATGCGCAACGGCAGTATATATATATATATAAATACACGTATGTATGGTGATTGTGTTCGCTAGAAACTCTAGCCCCTAGAACATAAGTAAATATCGGACGTGTTTGGGTGGGCATGTGTATGCCTCGTTTCTAGATGAGGCTACTCTCAGGACCCCAAAGGCAAAGCACGGTGATCAACGCGTGGGATTCACTTTGAGAATCGGTCGGTGCCGTTCACCGCCAGTGTCTTTTACCCGCAGAGTCTGCATGTGCTCCCAGGGTCAAGAAAGATGGCCATCTCATTAGCCACATGAGGTTTGGTCAAAACGAACCGTCAGGCTATGGTCTGGAGGGACATGGGAGCACTATGGGGCACTCACATCCTTTCCCGCAAAAAACAGTCACCAAAGTTTCCCGTGTCCTCACGGGAACTGCGCATCTGGACCTTTGCTCACGTGTCCTGGCCTTGTCAGGAGCGGGCCAAGCTCTACGAAGATGCCATACCCCGAGATTGCTCTTTTGCAGATACTTGTCACCAGAGATATGATGACTGGGCCAGGGTCCATTCCTTTTTATCAGGGGACTGGGTTTTGGTCTACTTTGCAAACCTGGCCATCCCAATTGGGCTTTGCGTGGTTGGCAGCGCAGGTCAAGTTGCAGCAGGAACGGCTGCGGCAGAGGTGCCATCGATGCAGCATGCCACTGCGTTCGTTTTTTGCGGACTTGAGCTGCGGTTATGACACGCACGCGCTACAGCCTAGCTTGGCTTGGTCATGCAAAAGGAGTGCACCCCTACACTTGGGAACCCAGGGTTTTGGGATCCCTGGTTTGTTAATCAGGGGTCCCACCTTGTTGAGCATGCTTCACTGGGGGAACACACATAAGAACCCCCTGTTCATCCCCAGGGTTTGTCCATCCAAGCTCGGCCTTCTATTCCGTTTGACCGACGCCAGGCTGTCGGAGCAACGCCAGATGGCGGATGAGCGCGTCAAGGTGGGAGGGCAAGATGCATCCCAGCAAATTGACGAAGGTCCATGCTGACGAAGAGGTCAGATTCCCAAAAGCAGAGTTATTTAAGAGTTGTTACGGAGGGTCTTTTTGTCATTGCCAGGCTTCCATGTCACCGAGGGGTTGCTAAGATGTCTTTCGGTCATGGTGACCATCTTATTTCACCTGGTGATTCAGCAGCTCAATGCTCAGCTTAGTTCTGCAAAGGCGCGCTGACGTTGGATTTTCTCCATTGCATCATTGGCCTTAAGCAAGGAATCGAAGTCACCACGTTTCCAATCCATGCGGTTTCTTTTGGGGAAGAGCTGAGTCTGAGGCCGATCCTGGGATCACGCGTCACGGCGTGCATTCGGATTTCAGCCTTATGCTTTGGGGTCGACATGAATGTCCCTTGGAAGCAATGCATTCGAGCGGTATGGCCATAAAGATAGGTTGCCCGAAGTGGTGCAATAGTTGTTTGAAGGGACATCTCAGGAACTGTGTGTGTGCTTTATTTCAGCTTGCTTTGCATTTTTTGAATTTTGGCAGGCCCTGACTCCGGAGAAAGCAGGCAGAGAGCGCGACACAGGGGAAGATTTAGCTCGTGCCACAGCAATTTGTGTGTGTGTGTTTGTGTCTGTCTTAACATGTCTTAACATAGTGGAAAAATGGATAGATTCCTTTTGGATTCCCTTGAAGGCAATCCCAAAAAGGACAATGACCCTCAAAGTCACCCATTTTCACCCATTTTCTTGGAAAGATGTGAATTCCCAGCATCAAAAAACCGCAGTGTGTTTCAATACTGAGAGCCATGCAATTGGCCATATCGCTATTCGCAGGTAGAAGCGACAAGAGAGAGGAGAACTTGCGGGGAAGCGAGGCATGGTGGCCAAACTTGGCCTTAGGTTTTCGCCCAGAATGTTTTTGGGATGGCCGTCCTTTGGTATCGCAAAAAAGGGCCTTTCCTTTTCCACAATGCGGGGCAAGGTAGGAGCCTAACAGGGTCTCCCTCTCAAGGAGCCTTCGGGTCCAGGTGTTCTTTATGCCCCTGCTTAGGCCCTACTTCTCCTTTGCGGTTTTTATTTAACCTAGTCCAGATCGGTTTTTTCCAACTTCGTCCTGTGTCACGCCTTGCTCCGCCCAGCACCCCACCCCCATGTCCCGGCGAGGAAGCGAAAGGCATCCGCGACGCTCAGACCCTGTCGCGCCCGAGGGAGGCCGGGGTCGGGAAAGGGTGAGAGATTGGATGGTTTAACCAGGCTCTGGTTCAAACCATTTCAAACCACTATTCTTCAATCAACCTCCATTTGGGGTGCTCCTTTTGCAAGAAAGGCTGGTTGTTTTTGCCCATGGAAATAACTACACGCGCCGTGGTAAACTTACTGATATGTGCAGGTATCATGTTTGCCAGGAAAAGTCCGGGATTTTACAGTCAGGTTCGATGGTAGGCGGGAGGGCATTCCCTTCCAAATGGGAGAAATAGTGTGTAAGTGTGAGTGTGTGGGTGTTCTACTTGGCTGCGTTGGCAAAATCAATGTCAGCCTTCAAAAAAGCGGAAGCAATCTGTAAGTGTGTTGAGTCCGTGTGTTCTACTTGGCTGGGGCACACACCCTATCACGGTGTTGGTTGCCGTGACAGGAAGCATTGGCCAAATCAATGTCAGGATCTCTGGAATGGGAGTGGAGTGGAAAACGCGAGGAAACCAAAAGGACAAACTCAATTGAAGGGAAGACAACAGGTTTGCAAGCTGGATTAATTTTCTGGACTCCAACAAAGCTTCTACTTTTGGGTGAGATTGAGTCAACAGTTGTTATTTTTAATTATGTCTAGGGAATGGTCAACTCTTTGCATCCAAAGGTGAACTTTCTTCTCATTTCGGGCGGGGCGCAAGGCCTTGAAGCACCCATAGCACCTCGGCGCCATCGCATGTCCGCAGAAAAAGGGGTACCTCCTTCTACCATCTCTTCTGATTTGCTTCTTGCCGAGGGATGGGGGACCGGATATGAGCGTCCGGCGAAAAACCGCAAGGAGCACAATCCGGCAAGGATTTACACCCTGAACATCAGAAGACGCGCCCATTTCAAAGGGGAATCGCCTTTCGGGAGACCCGCTTTTGGGGTTTCACTTGATCTCTACCGGGAAGGAAACAGACAACGTGGAAACGGCAGCTTCTTGAGCTGTATGTTTGCGGAGTTGGCTTCACATCGAAACAAACCCTCCAAGGGTTCAAGCCCCATGAGCCGTGAAGCAGCCGTCTTGGCCAGTTAACATGAACACACAGGGCCAACTGACGCCTTAAGTGAAACCCAGCCCTGACACGGAATTCGGAGAGTCCGAAATTCCATGAAAGCTCCCGTTTTGCGAGGGTGGCAGATTGAATCACCCAAATCCTTCGGCCGGCAAATCTCGATGCCAGGCAAAGCCGAAGGAGTCTCCAGGCGGGGGGGTGGACCCGTGGACCCCAGAAATGGGTGGGGTTCATTGGTGTCCCTTCAACCTGCCCTTCCCCCCAAAAAAAAACACGGAAGGCATTCACAAAAGGACAGACCCATACATATATATATATATATACATATGGTACCCCCCCCCATGGACCCTGGTTTGGTTGCTTCTTGGATCTTGTGTCAAAATTAGGGGGTGGCATATGTATATATGATATGCATGCAGATGAATAATTTTGTGATAAAGTGATAAAAACAATGACATCAGCATCTGAAATCTGAAAGAGTTTGAATGCATCCAAGAGTATGAGAACACCTCAGATTTTGTCTTTTCAAGATTCAATATTCAAGAATCTGAGAACATATTTTCTGGGAATCTTTTATTTTGAATCCCAGATCTTGAACAAAAAAAGAAAAGAAAAGAACATCTAGGGGTGTCCCAATACTCTCGGGTTCAATACGATCCTCGGAAAAGCTTTCCGTGAAATATTTCAATCTCGAATCTTCAATCCAGTGGTGAAATACGTTCGAGGTTTTAGAGCAACTTGAACATTCTTAGTTTTTGACCAGGATGGATGATTCTCAGGAAAGTTGTTGCTTTTGCAATCCTCAATATTGAATCCTAAATCCAGTGGTAAAGCACTTTTAAGTGTTAGAAGAACTTGAATGCTGTTTGGGTTTGGCCAGGATTGACAATTCTCAGGAAAGTTTTCTGTGTAATCTTCAATCTTGAATCTTCCATCCAGTGGTAAATACTTTCAAGTGCTTAGCGATCCAGTGGACACACTTTCCAGTTATTAGTTAGACAAACCTTCAAATGCTTTTGGTGAGCTCATGTTGACCCTTTTCCAGGAGGTAAACAAAGGTAGCAATGCTCAAAAACACTGTATTTTGCAGTATTTCATGAAGAGGCGCAGCATTAGGGGTACTATGTATATATATATACATGTATGTATGTGTGTATGTAATGTAATGTAATGTAATGTAATGTAATGTAATGTAATGTAATGTAATGTAATGTAATGTAATGTAATGTAATGTAATCTAATGTAATGTAATGTAATGTAATGTAATGTAATGTAATGTAATGTAATGTAATGTAATGTAATGTAATGTAATGTAATGTAATGTAATGTAATGTAATGTAATGTAATGTAATGTATGTAATGTAATGTAATGTAATGTAATGTAATGTAATGTAATGTAATGTAATGTAATGTAATGTAATGTAATGTAATGTAATGTAATGTATGTATGTATGTATGTATGTATGTATGTATGTATGTATGTATGTATGTAATGTAATGTATGTATGTATGTATGTATGTATGTATGTATGTATGTATGTATGTATGTATGTATGTATGTATGTATGTATGTATGTATGTATGTATGTATGTATGTATGTATGTATGTATGTATGTATGTATGTATGTATGTATGTATGTATGTATGTATGTATGTATGTATGTATGTATGTATGTATGTATGTATGTATGTATGTATGTAATGTATGTATGTATGTATGTATGTATGTATGTATGTATGTATGTATGTGTATGTATGTATGTATGTATGTATGTATGTATGTATGTATGTATGTATGTATGTATGTATGTATGTATGTATGTATGTATGTATGTATGTATGTATGTATGTATGTATATGTATGTATGTGTATGTATGTATGTATGTATGTATGTATGTATGTATGTATGTATGTATGTATGTATGTATGTATGTATGTATGTATGTATGTATGTATGTATGTATGTATGTATGTATGTATGTATGTATGTATGTATGTATGTATGTATGTATGTATGTATGTATGTATGTATGTATGTATGTATGTATGTATGTATGTATGTATGTAATGTATGTATGTAATGTATGTATGTATGTAATGTAATGTAATGTAATGTAATGTAATGTAATGTAATGTAATGTAATGTATGTATGTATGTATGTATGTATGTATGTATGTATGTATGTATGTATGTATGTATGTATGTATGTATGTATGTATGTATGTATGTATGTATGTATGTATGTATGTATGTATGTATGTATGTATGTATGTATGTATGTATGTATGTATATGTATGTATGTATGTATGTATGTATGTATGTATGTATGTATGTAAGTTGTATGTATGTATGTATGTATGTATGTATGTATGTATGTATGTATGTATGTATGTATGTATGTATGTATGTATGTATGTATGTATGTATGTATGTATGTATGTATGTATGTATGTATGTATGTATGTATGTATGTATGTATGTAGAGCGTCAATCCTAACCAAGGACTAACCCAGAATCCACGTCTCACCCGTGTCCCGACTCTCTGGCACACCCGCGAAGCGGCTCGTGTTTTCACAGGCAGCGCACTCATTCACCGTGCGCATGTGGCTTGAGCCAAAATAGGCACGCCACTCCAACTTCCTCAAGGTGGACATGTCAACTTGCAAGACATGTCCACTCATGCAACCTCAAGCAAAAATAGCTCACTTACCAAAGCCTAATGCCTATGGCTGCAATGACAAAATCATGCATGAGAATGCCAAGATCTGCAGTCGCCCCCAGTTGCAGCCTCCAGCCGCGGCGGGGAATGCAACTCCAGAGCATTCTCATCCTTAATTGTGGGAACAGCCCCATCCTTCAAATTGCGGGGGCTCCCTATCCTATTCCACTGGGCAGTGGCCAATTCCTTATACCCTTCATCCGGCCCTGGACCTGGGCTCAGTACTGCTTCGGCTCGGCTCATCCGATCTTTCCAGCCTGGAAAGTTGCAGTCGCAGCTTCTCATTCTCAGTCTCCAGCGCCTTGTCTAGCAAGTGAACCAGCTTGCCGCTCCCATCGACGGCTAGCTTAATCCAGCTCACAAACTTCTCATTCTGCTTCTGGCTGAAGAAGACCTGATTCTGCATGGTGCCCAGCAAGGCCAAATAGTTACTGAAGAAGGCAGAATCCGAGTTGTCATACTTCTCCGCGTTGTATGCAGTGTGAATCTTATCCACGGTCTGGAAGACCTTGAGCGCCAAAGCGCCATCCACAGCGCCTCGCCCGGAAAGATTGAACACAGCCGCGTTAAGCCTGGAAAGGTGGTCAGATCGCAACGATCCCGGGGGTTTCGATTCCTTACGAATGTCGTTGAGCACCTGTTGCAAATACAACACGGCTCCCTCCGAAGTTGCCAACGGACTCGAGAAATCGTCCCTGACCAAACCTGAACTCTGCCCGCGAGCGTCATCCCGCTCCGCACTGGCCACTCTCGGTTGCTTATTCCTACTCCCGGTACCCAGCTCCTTAGCCTTACTCACTAGGCCTTGAAGACAACCAACTTCGACATATTCACTCCTAGATGGAGCCGAACGCGACCTTAGCGAAAATCCCGGACTGGTCACTTCATCAAGAATGGGGACCGCCTGGAGGGTTTCTCCGGCGCCCCCAGCCCGATCCTCGCCTATCGTCGACGCCACACCGCCGGTCAGCGGCTGGTCGGCCCATCGCTGCCTGGCCACGATAATGTGCTGGCATTCCGTACCCAGGTCAATGAACGCGATGAATTTCTTGGTCCTCTGGCCTTCCCCAAGCATATTGCCGTGAAGTCGGTGCATGGCTTTGTTCCTACACTTGCGGGATACTGTCCAACCACACCACGTCATGAAAACAACAAACATGCTCATCAAGGTAGCCCGCAGGAACAGCCCCATAGTCTCCACAAGAGCAACTCCCTGCGAACCCATTTTGTCGACTAAGAGGACCGTGTTGACCGAAACACTCCCCATGACATCTTCCACAACATTGTCAATCTGGACCACACCTTTGTAACCAAGAGGGATGAGGGCAAGCATGGTTCCCCAATAAACGAGGTTCAATTGGTTGCCATGCTCAGCATGGGCCTTCTTGTTCCGGCCTTTCCGGCTCGAGAAACCAGGCCTCCGCACTTTCTTTCTGCTGCGCTTCTTGCGGTCGCCTTTGCCAGGATGCCGTCGCCCGCCCCTCTTTTTGGGCTTGCGACTGAACTGGCGAAATGCATCCTCATCCTCTGTCACGACATCATCCGAGCTGTCCTGCTCGCATGTGCCCTCTCGAGCACGGCTGCACTTATAGCACGTCAGCCGTGCTTTGACGTTCCTTCCGCCACATTGGCGGCAGTCCCAACCGCGGCCTGCAGCAAGCTCTTCCAAAGCTTCGGCCCGCGCGGACTCTCGATGCCGCCTCTCGGTGCTCCGAACATGTTCACCTGCTGGTCCTCGGCCGCTCGCGCCGGCCGACTCAGGATGTGGCCGAATGTCATCATCTTCGTCCTCATCGGAGCGCCGCATGACACTCACTCTCTTCGTATTGCGGGACCAAGGAAATTGACCCGGCACTGGAGCCGGCCTGGACTCTCCCGGACCGAAAACTCCTCCCGGTCTCCTCCATGGCGGAGTGGCCTTCGGTTTCACCACAGCTCTCACCGGTTCCACTGGCCCGGACCGACTCCTTGATCGGCTCCTGCTCTTCAGCCTCAACGGCTGGCCGCCACCACCACCTCGATCGTCGGGATAAAAACTGTCATCATCTCCTCCAGATTCCCCCTCTCCCGACTCCTCGATCTCAACGGACTCCTTGTCGTCGAGAGACACATATCCGGTCGGCGGTTCCGCCGGTGCCGGCAACGGCGGCGGAGCAATTTCATCATCTTCTTCCGGAACCGCGGCAGAGCCTCTGGATGATTCCCGCTCCGCGCGTTCCTTAGCTGCACGTTCCCGTTGCTCCAAATAATAAGGATGATATTGGTGATCCGCCAACAGGAATCTGTACTTGTTCTGGTCGTGCTCTCTCAGAGTTCGCTCTTCGAACCCCGGACCAACGGCAGCAGCCAAAAGCGCCGTCTTGTCGATCAGCCCCTTCCAGTCCGCGGGCGGATCTGTCCCGCGACCAGAGGCAGTTGCCGTGGCCGTACTGGCAGGCGGAGCAATTGGCCTCACCTCAATTGCTCC